AATGGAACATGTATTCTTTCTGCTCGTTAATTAATTCTTTAAGGCAAATGGTAATTGATTGATTAACATATAAAAATTTAAATTTCTGAGCTATCGTAATATAATGAAAAATGTTAGAAGAATTTTAAGATTTAAATTGAAATTCAATGAAGCGAATTTCGACGAGAAATTTTCTATTTATATTAAAAGTTGAATCTCCGATATGAATCTTTCCGGAATTCATAAAACAAAGAAGCATTTCAAGAATTATTGACTGTATCTATGAAAGCTAAGCAGATATTTTTATGAGGAGGCTTAAAGTGAACGGAAAGAAGATCGGGTTAACTGATATTCTATCAGCAAACGGTTAATAAAAAATCAGGTGAATGGATGGAACAACAGCTTTTGAATCTTAATAAAACAGAAGTGGTTTGAAAATCTGACTATATCAGTTGTTTAGATTATTATTGTTCAGATTAGTTTTTTTAGGAATTTCTGAAATCGTCTGAATCATCTAGCTTACCTTGCTCCTGTCCAGACTTAACCAAAGCTCAAAGTTTAAAATTCTTCAGGTTTTTTTTCGAACGGTTAAATTTATGACATTTTGAAATTTTATAAAATGTGAAAAGGAAAAAATATATGAAAGGAGATGTTTTGAATCTTTTAGACTATACTTCAACAGATATATGGATGAAGCATTTTTAATTTATAATCTTTATTTTTTCAGAAATGGCTATAATTAATATGTTATTTAAAAAAATCTACTGAAAAGTTATAATATCGTCAGAAATGTAACAAAAGATTTCATTATCTAGGCCGCTGGAAATCAATAAATTTCGATGAGAAATTTTCTATTTATATTGAAGAGTTGGATGTTTGATGTGAATCTTTCCGGAATTCGTAAAATAAAGAAACATTTCAAGAAACATATGGAATGATTTTATCGAATGCAACAGAATTCAATATTATTCGAGTTTCTTTATCAACCGTTGATCTTCAACGGTCAACTGAATCACCTTTCCGTTCACTTTAAATCATCTAATAAAAAATCCGTTTAGTTTTTACTTAATTTTTTTTATATATGTTTCAAATCACTTCTGTTTTTTTAAGGTTCAAAAGTTATTGTTCCATCCATCTATCTGAATTCTCTATCAACCGCTTACTGAAGAATATCAGGATCACCTCATAAAAATGTTTGCTTAGCTTTCATAGATACTGTCAACAATTTGCACACAAATAATTCTTGAAATGTTTCTTTATTTTATTAATTTCGTTGAAGATTCATATCAGAGATTCAACTTCTCCATATAAATAGAAAATTTCCTGTCAAAATTCGCTTTGAAATTTAATGAAGTGGATCTTCAAATTCCAATTTTCAATAAAATTTTCGAAACTTCTTGTCACATTACCCTTCAAAATTATAATTT